CAGACACCCAGAAAGTACCTGTAGGGTGTGTATTTCTTTTTTGTGTTTTTGTGTATAGATAGAAAGAAAATAATTATTAATTATACATTTTTGGTTTAACCAGCTCTTTATGAAGTATTTTATCATATTATCCTTATATAACTTGTAAATGGTTTGAATTCGATAACAATCTTTCATAAGTGGTTGAGGTTACAGTGTTAAAAAAACAAAAAAACTTTGGTATTGACCAGATTTCATAAAACATTTTTCTAGTATACGCAGTATAGTAAAAACATTCGAAATGACTGAAAAAGATATTATTTGATCTTGATTCTAGTTTATAGAATTACATACATAACCATAATAAAATAATGTTTAATAGAAAGTAATAGTATAGGATTAATTCTAATCAAATGTTTAGTTATTAGTTCATAAGATATTGAAATTCACAATCACTTTATTGTATATATATTATTTATGAATTGGATTATAACGTAAAGAGGTATAAATAAATAAACTTATTATGAACTTTATATCTAGGTTTTGATAGTATTTTTTTCGATAGACTATATATTTTTAGAATTAAATAATTATATAAATATTGAAGTTTATTCAATATTTACATTATTTTAGACATGATAATTTCAACTCACATACGAAATAACTATATGCAGTATATGATTTTTAAGTATATCCGTATTTATCTAAATATTCACATGTAAAGTAAAAAATGTAAAAAAAAATCTTTAACTTATGGTCTTTACAGCCAATGTATTTTAAGAAGATCAATAAAAAAAAAAAAAAAAAAACAATGTTTTATTTTTATTAACGTTCTGAACATTTACATTGTTCAATTGACTTAAGTCAATTTTTTCAACTAACTAGCGCTTCCTCCTTAGATTATCATTATCATCATTTCGTTTGCGTTTGTTTCGCCATAACTTCTGTCACTGCCATTAAAACTTATTCAAACGCTTTAACGTTCGAACATTTCATGGGTGTATAATATATGTATACAATTACTAGCAGGTAAGGTACGCGTGAAGAACAGGTCCGAAGAGACGGAGACGGATAGTACAGAGATCGTAGATTTTGCACGGACAATATATCTTAGCGGTGCGTAGTTACAATAATAAATCTTCATGTTCAATGTGCACAGATCGATTGATCGCCGCAACGAAAGCAAACCCGTCGAACCCAAAACAGTAGCTGTATATTATTATATCGCTGTTCGCGCGTACGTGTATAAATGCCTCCGTCCACCCGGAAAGGCACAAAGTCCAGTAGTAAATTTCCGATTTCACGCCCACCCAACCGTATGCTTATATATAATAGTTCTCAAGATACAGCATCCTTCTCAAGACTACTCCTTTAACCTTAATTCACTCAAAATTTATACTATCTGCTCTTGACGCCAAGAAGCTAGTTCCAACTTTATTTTACCTCCTTGCCTTGATCAACTTCTGTGTTCCTTCCTTTAACGCTAGAAGTCAATAGCAATTTACCTACACGACTCATCAAGGTCATATATTTATTATATTTATTAAATATTATTCCTAGCTAACCAAACTAAAACAAAACAATACATATTAATATTCAGTTTGATTCTATGATTTTCTCCTATTTGTATTTAAATTTGTTTCACGTTTTAAGCTAATTTGTTACACTTATTTATTAAAATGTAATATGTTATTTTATAAACGTTGTGTAAAAATTATTTATAGGACATACCATTTAAAATAAATAAATATAATTTAGACTCGGCCATTCATTATAAACGCACTTCATTAGATGTCTACGTCTAAATTTTCATCATCCTAGATTAAATATTAACCAGTACAATACCTTCAATTAAAATATATCTTTTTAAATGTCAAAATGAATAACTGAATATATATCAATAATATCTCAGAAATGTAATCGTTCAAATTTAAATCAAAATGGGATAGATCGGATAAAATAGTTCAAAAACAATATACATAGAGTTCATTATATTATGTATAACTTAAAAGTTATAAAATATATCAATAAATATAACATTTCAATTATTATTAAATTGTTAACATAATAATATATTAATAATTAAAAATATATTTTATAATTCATGAATACATAAATAAACAAAATAAATAATAGACAATAATAAATTATCCTTACTATTTTTTCCTATGAACAAATTATTTAAAATTAATAGCATTATCATCTTATTGGTAAAGTATAATAACTTTAAATTGTAAATTTTATAAATATATATATATTTAAATTATAGAATAATAAACTTGTTTATAAATACGTAAAATATATAATTTGTAATTAGATACATATACTTGATTATTAATTAATACTTAAGAAATAGGTTTCTGATGGTCATTACTCTTTTACTTTGTTAATAAATGGATAAAAATGACTTTTAAAGAACTAACCTACCAACATATGATAAAACTAATATATAGAATTCAGGAAAACCTAAATATTGTTACTCATGCACTGAAAAAATTCAATTTTTTAAATTCTCAAATATTTCATTATCCCCTAAGCTATCAAAAATCACCATACTTATTTAATCTAAGATAAAAAGGTGAAGTATCTAGTGGTACATAATATATGATACTTGTACTATAATATTGTATTATCATATATATTATATTATTTTCAAACTACCTTCTTTTTTTTTTATATATATATAATTATAACATATACAACTCGTAAAACTTTTATTAATTATTATTTCAATGATTTTGGACCAAGTAGTATGCGTACCATTTTATAATAATTGGGCTGCAATGAAACCCACCAATCATTGGCATTCTATATAGCAGCGGAGGTATTATTGTTTGGCCCCACAAAAAATTATATACAATATGTAATATTAAGTTATCTACGTTAAATACATTATACAATGTGCACAAGGTGGTTTTTCCGTGATGCGCGTTTTCTCAAAAAACTTTTTTTGCATGTTTTGGTTTCAAAGTATGTGTACAAAAAATATATTAAATTATAATATTATATCACTATTTCAAAACATATATATTTTAATATTTAAAAACTAAAAATACATTTTATTATTTTATTGTTTTTGTTTGAGTATTTTTTTTTACCTCTTGTACACAATACTTGTTAACGGCAAATGTTATATGTTATAATTTTTGACTACTTTTCCCAGAATCATTTGTTTTATTCATAAGTTTATGAAGTTTAATTCCGTAAGTTGAGCTTTTGCTACACGATCTTATCATATCTAAATTTTTAACCCGTCTAAATATTAAACACATAAATTATTTTATACAAAAAAAAAAAAAAATTAGATAAATATTAAATATGTAAAATAAGAGTAAAAAAACTAAATTAAATACCTAATATAAATGTGAAAAAATATAATTTCTAAAGAATACCAAATTCGTCAAAAAATAAAATCACGAAGTATATATTTCATATTTTAGAATTATAAAAATATAATACCATAGTATATAATAATATGATTTTGTTGCGACCTTACGCGTTTTCAGTGTTTTCCAGTCGTCAACATCATAGCATAACAATTTTTTTATATACTTTTTACTGTTAAAAAACTTTCCACAAACACATACAACTATAATTATTCCCTGAGACTCCAAAGAATTAATAAACAAAGTTTAAGTAAAGTTAATTTTAACTTTTTTTTACATAGAGAATTAGTTATTAACGTATTTGGTATTTTTTTCAAACTATAACAAGACTCTTGTTTTAAAATTAATTCAATTGTTACTCAAATCGAGTTTGTCCAACCCTCTTCCCACCCCCCGTTGCGCAAACAACAACTTTTTACTAAGGAAATTATACTCAACCCCTTTTATACAACCTAGCATCATAAACATGGGTACGTTATATTATTATCCTTATGTTATAGAAAGCTCCCCCACCTTCAACACAGAATATAAATTATAATAACACATAACCATATTATTATTGGGTTAATAATCCAGTGCACAAGTGTAAGGATACCTAAGTTAATTATTCAATATTAAATCAAAACAAGACATAAAATTATCCAAAATTATGTATCATGTAAAATAATGAACATCTATTCAAGAGGTAGTAAAACATTGCAGCACATCTGGTAACTGATGGTCTTTATAGCATTTTTCGTTTTTTAAATTTTTCCATTTTAATCTAAAATATTTAATGAAAATGTTGATAATTTTTATTTAAATTTCATGCCCCAAAATAGTACACATGTGTATACTACTTATCCAGACTTATTGAAGTTTTTTATTTTTAAATAAAACAAAATACCAAGTAGGTACATTATATTCTATCCAAATATAAACTTATCACACTATATGAATACTGAATACTAATATACGTGCGTGATGTTAGATAATTTATTAATATCAAATATATAAATCGTTATTACAGGCTTTAATATTCAAATAAAAAATAATTAAATAATTATATACAATACTGAGTGAATTTGGTCAGTTTAGCTATCCATCAATAAAATTGAACATAAGATAAAATAGTTATTAGAAATAGGAAAAGAACGTTCAAATCATTAAATTATTTATCATCACGAATAAAACTACACCAAGAGTATTAAATATAAAGTTAATAACCTATAAGTATTAAATTGCCAATGTGACAGCGAATATAAACGACGGAGATTAAAACGTATTGTATATCACAATTAAAGCAATAAAATGTTAATAATTTTGGATTTGAAAAATCATACCATTCATTTATTATAAAAAAAGTTAATTCGGATACACTTATGATATAGATAATATTATAATTATACATTATGTATAAGTATACCTAATATAGTTGGTACTTAGTAGGTATATTTAATCACTGTTATACAGCATAGATCTTAATATAAAAAAATTGTAATTCACTTATTTTATTCTTCAGGATCAAAATAAACTGTAAAGTCGATTTTATTGTAATTTGCATATGAAGTGAAATGTATTGTAAAAAAAATTTACTATTTATCAAATAAACTAAAAAAAAAAAAAGGCTTTGTTATTTTTATAAAACGTACGTACCTATTTGTATTTGCTTTATTTAATTTTGATAGTAGATCATTTAACATCTTTGATTTCTGAAACAAAAAAATAAATAAATATTACAAAAATAGCATAATACATAACACGCTGAAGGATGAAAAAATAATTTTTTATAAATAATTTAGTGACTGCATTGTCATGTTTGTAAATATTAAAAAATAACAAAATGCTAAAAGCGTATTGGAAATATATTATTTTTTTATTATTATTATGTTCTGTCTGGTGAAACTGAGTGCCAGAAGTTTTTTTTGTAGCGTTATATGAACTACACAATAATATCTATATAATGGATTGCAGTTTGTGTAAACTTATCATTCATTTTATTTCGACAAAATGTTAATTTTTACTGCTTTGTTTGTAAATTCGTGATTATAAGTTATTTTCTAAAATATAAACGGTTTTTTGATTTAATTTTCTATCAATAACGTATTATAAAGTCTGTCGATGTTTGTGGAGTGTAGTTGGTGACGTATAATTATATTTTGTAATAGATGTCAAGTCCAAAATCGATAATTCAAAAGTATTATGGATCATAAAAGACTGGATTTTACGAATAACTAACGTGTTAGGTCTACATCACAAAAACTGTTAATTTGTTGTTTATACCGAGTGAATTTAATATCATGTCGGTAATTGACTTAACACTTAACTATGACCAATCACTTAGAGAAAAACTTCTATGTTATGTGGTCTGTAATCAATGGATCTTACTGTAGGTACGTGTAAACCACATACGTAGGTCTTTAGATTAACTTTAATTCTGAAGATAGTTTATTGGTCTATCAGCTTCAATTCTTTTTTTAGTTGAAAAAGTAAATTCAATCATCCTAATAGCCATGTTATTTGGTTAGAGAACAGGACGTTGAGTTTATCCTTACATAACACAATTTAATATAATATAATTACACATATTTATGTCATGCTACCAATTTCTATTTCGAAACGGACGTCGTGAGTCGGTCGACCGTGTCGCGGTTGGTGTAAAAACCAATACCTATTAGCTATTACCTACCTGCAACTGTATCATAAACATTGACGGCGGTGGGTGTGAGATCGATGCGCGGTCAGATCGGAATAATAATTTATGTGCGTTTCTCATTTATCACTAGTACTGGAATCGAAAAACACACAACACAACCATAATAATAATGTAATATATTATTCGCTTTTGGAAAATAACAAATTTTTATCGTACATTATATACATCCACTACCACCACCATCGCCGTCACCGTAGCACCTCTGCTTTTATACAATATATATATGTACATTATTATATTAAACGATGGGTGCAATAAAATTGTAATCGAAAAAAATAACCGAAGCCGCCTCGACGACCACTCCTCTACTCCCTTAACAACCTCCAACACCGCCATTACTCTGGTCCACTCCGGTAGTAACCATAGACGATGGTTACGGGGGACTGAGAAAGGGATTTTTTTGATCATTCCAGCCCTGCTATTCCTCTTTCCCACCTTTCCAAACGTCCCCTGACATTTCGCTCGACTCGTTTTCAATTTAATAATACGACAGCAGCCGCTTTTAAATTAAACGGTGAACCAGATATCACAATAAAATCTATTTATATATATATATATATATATATATATACATATAACGCGATGGACGCTTAATAATAATAATAATAATAATAATAATAATAATAATAATAATAATATTACGGCCATTACGAATATAACAATAATAATAACCAAATTTCTATCGCGTGAAACAGTAGTCAACAAAGGTTTCCTTCTTCGATGAAACATTACTCAATCAATCGAGAACCGCTCAGACTGTAGGCGGGTGCGTGACGACTTTACCCCGCATGTAGGATATGATTAAGGACGACGTTACTGTAATGGAAATATTGTAATAACAATACTAATAAGACAAAATTATTGTGCTCTGGAAAATTCAAATTAGGTCGTAGAAATTTTTAATTTTATTGTGTTTTATTATAAAAAAAATAAAGTTTCGAATACAAAGGTCATTGGTCTTATTATTATTTTATATTAGCTAGTTTTTCAGCCAGCCCAAACCTCAGATAGATTCCCTACAGGCAAAAAAATTAACCCAAAAAAACAAAACAAATTATATTTATGACATTTTGAATTAAAGCAAAAATTGTTGATTGACAACGAAAAAACTTATTTGCTTTTTTTAAGTGGTTAAATGCAATTGTAGTTCGCTAATATTATATCTATTATTTTTCTTGTCTGGTTTTATAAAAGCTATATATTTTCCCATCTCGAAATGTATTCAACTCACTTTAATATCATTAACTTCATCAATATACTCTTTTCCATACATAAACATTTTAAAAATTTGTATACTTTAGTATACATTTTAATGTATTAAATTTTTCTTCTTTCATTACTTAACTTTCATGTATTATATTTCATTCTACTGATTCTCTTTTTTTTTCCTTTTTGCTCACATTGATTGTTCTCTGTAAATTTCATTAAAGGATCTTTTAACTATGTTATTATTATTTTGGTTTAATTGTTTATACATTTTTATCTCTGTTTGGACAACATCATATTTAACCATAGTTGTATATTTTATTTTTTGTTGATTGCTAATATCTATTACTTATTCTCAATAAACTAATCTTAGATTATTTCATACGTTATTTTGTTGGCTCAGTTTTATACATTAAGTATCTTTTTCAGTTTCTATTCTCATTCTTTCTTTCACAGCAGCTACATAATACCTATAAATAATATTTTTTTCACAAAATTTATGAAATTAAATCATCAGTACATATTATTTTTTTTTATAACTTTTTATTTTAAGAATAAAAATAGTTTATAAAGTGAACAAAGATAAAGCACTTTCGCGTTGGATGAAATGATAATAATATAGTTTAAGTAACAGTTTAATATGCAATTATTTTCGGAAACACGTATACTTATAGAGCAGATATAATATTAAATTATACAATAAAAATATAATAAATTAAATTAACGAGGGATGACACGCACGAAAATAATATTCTACATTTATTTTCTTTATAAAATGTTTATGTTTATATATATTATACATACTATAATTATGTTGTACGTTTGTCATATCTCATACTAAATTATATTATAATATACATGTTATATGCAGCAAACATTATCAAAACTATCATTATAAGATGCGATAACAAAACCTAATGTAGATACGTATAATTGAATGATAAGAAATAATAAATATGTGTTATAGAATTATTGATCCTTTTTAAAAGAGTATTTTAAGTAGTTTATTTTTATGAGAAAAGCTATTACCATTACAATTGGTCTATAATTTTAAATATAACTTAAACTAGCTAACCATATTATTATGATCTAAACCAATAGGTTTTTTTTTTAAATGATCCATCAAGTATTCTAATACTGTGGTTATTATAATATATTTTTCTGTACAATATTGATGTCGCAATACACACCATCCATTTCTATCGGTTCACGTAATATTGATTATCGTTAGACAGGTCGTTTATGTTGTAAACGACCGAGAGGTAATAATATTATAATCACGCCAATCACAGACAGTGCCCATGTTGTGGTACAATATGATTTAAGAGCTACTGCGTTATTTAATTATTATATTTTTGTTCACGTGTATTCTGCTACCTATACCTATTATTATTGTGATTTTTATAATTCTTCAACTGTGTAATAGTACGTAACGTCGTGGGAAATAAAAGGATAAAAGGGAGTAAACGCATAATGCAATCTAGGATAAGTAGAATCACCATTTAAACGAAAAGTGATTTTATGATTTTATACCCGTTTAACATAAGTGAATCTTTTGTAAATGTTTTTATTTAAATACAAGTATTTTAAATATTAGTTTAAATATTTAGTAATAGGGTTATATATCAGTCAATGGAATCAATACACTTATATTATATCCCAGCATAGTTGTTAGCGTAATTGATAAGTTTCTTACATATAAAACAATATTTTTCGGCGAAATCGATTATACATGCCGATCCAAATTACACGGTTTACAGTACCTCAAGTCCAGCCGCATACTTTGTAGATAACTCATAATAATATCGTATGGGGAAAAAATGAATGATTTAATTTTAAGTAAATTATATTCATAATCTATAACGCGATTACTTTTTTTGACATGTAACATGTGATACTAGTAACTCATTAAAATTATTTGAATTAAATTTATCTAAATTATATTGTGTCATATTATCTAAATAAATATGGTTTAATACACAATGTTTAAATACGATAAAACAAAAAAATCCTTTTTTAGAATGATAAAATAAAACACGTGAAAAACCAAATTTATAAAGTAAGTAGTCAAAATAAAGCGTAGTTAAAATCAATAAAACAATTTTATTAAGTGGATGGTGTTAGTAAGGCGTTGAATTAAAAACGTCATTTGAAAAAAATCCGTTAATTCGATTAATAAATAAGAATAAGTATTCAACACAGTTATTAAAAATTATTTTTTTATTGATTAAATACATTAGTTTACAGATATGTACAGAAATTGTATATATTTTTTTCATTTAAATTAAATTTATTTTTCTTACTTTCTATCTGAACTTTTAGACGAATTCATTATATTTTCTTTATTTTTTAAATAAGTTATCAGTATATAATCTTTATCTTTTTTTGGATATCAATTAGTTTTGTTATCTGAACGTCTCGCGACTGCCTCCACCGCCGCTGGCGTTAGGTATCTATTTAATATGACGCCGCGCGCACTGCAGACTTGAATCGTATTTTGACGAAACTATTATTATAAATAGACACAGTTGAACTGTCGGCGGCGACGTGTTGTATACTTTTTTTTTTTCATTTAATTTATATTTTTTTACATATCGACACGCTACGCTTAGTGATAGTACTAGTGGTAGTAGTAGGTCAGCGGTGGCTAAAATACTGTGTATAGCATGCACCTGCCAAGTGCCTAGAACGCCGCCTAATATCATTTCACGACCACTATTCTGCGCACGCGCACGGCCGGACACGCGTATACTCCCGCTGCAAAGATTTATAGCACTACATAACACACAG